GCCCGCTCAGAAGCCCGATCAGCCTCTTGACCTGCACACAGTCCTCCATTTCTTTCGCCGGTGTTGCCCCAGCGCACAAGCCAGTGAAATGTCGGAACCTCCTCCATGAAGGCGGACTGACAATCGACTTCGTCAGCAAGTCCACCGACAACGATGCTCCCGGCTCGTGACGTGCCTGCCAGCAGCCCGTGCGGATTCGCTCCCGCAACACAAAGCTTCGCAGCCGAAGATGTCTCGTCCTCCACGGACCATCCGGCGACTGCAAAATGCGGATGCCAGGCTGCGAGTCACCATGAAGAACACAGTCAAGGGCCTCGTTCGCATCTCCACTCTCCAAAATCGCAATGATGGAGGCGCAGGACTCACCCATGGTTAAGGCATCGGAATATCCCAAGAGCTCTGCCTCCGAGCTGGACAATGTGCCAAATGGCTGCTGCTTGCTTTCCCACTGGATAGGGGCACCTGAGTACATCGCTATAAGGCCTTGATGACCACGAGACCCAGGAGGACCAAATGAGGCATCCGAGTACATGTGAATGCCCTTACTCTCTTCCAACTGGGGTTCATCAGGTGAAGCTTCATACAACAGGCCCAAATCCATGGTGCTTTGCAAGAACCCCAGGACCTGCGCTCCATATCGTTGAACTCGACATGGGCAATGTGTCACCTGCCGCCCTAACCACGACACTGCAAAGGAGATGTCCGGCCTCGACCTCACCGCCAGCCACAACAACTCTCCCACTAAGATTTGCGACTTTTGGACCTCTGCAATCTCCGGGTTTGCCTCCTCAGTCTCGTCCAAAACACCTGGCAGCGGGCTTTGAGCTGGTTTGACATCAGGATATCTGCCCAAAAGATCTCGCAGGTATGACTCCTGATGCAAACGAAGTCCCTTCTTCTCCTGGGCAATCTCAAAGCCACAAAACCTCAGACTGCTCTCAGGAGTCAACCATTCTGGCGTCGAGCACTTCCACTGTTGCTGGAACCGAGCAATGGTCGATCGAGTCACTTTTTCATCACCAGTCACCAGGATATCATCGACGTACACAGCGACAAAGCCATACACCTTGTCCGGCAGCTGTGACATGGACGGATCATCGAGGATCACTTTCCACAAGTTAGGCTCTTGAGTGCGAGCCAACTTCCAGCACTCACCTTCATCGGCCCAGCGGAACTTGGCCATCTCCTCGTCCCGGAATCTCGCCCAGTTGAGAGGCGCCTCCTGGAGACCGTAGAGCGAGTTTCTGACCTCCCAGATTTCGTCGGCAGCGCACACCTTTGCTTCCACCAGCGCCCGAGGAGGGCGTGTAATGAGCAATCTTTGCTGAGCATCTCTTCTTGGAGCTAGCAAGAACGCTGTCTTCACGTCCAGGCTCGCTACGGACCATTTCTCCAGAGCACTCTTTCTGAGTAGGGCTCGTAGAACAGTTGCATCTGCTCCTCCTGCATGCATATAGCTCAAAGGGCGAAGAGGTAGAAGACGCTTCCAGCGGGTTGACAGCCTTCGTCTCCACCTGGGACTTTGTGAGATGGTTGCCGCAAATGACCACCCTTGCCCGATGCCGTCCGTGAGGACTTTTGACCGTAGGGACTAACATCGCTGGCGCTTCTTCCCGCCATGGGTATCTTGGATCCTTCTTCAAAACCTCCTCTGTGGTTGGAAAGATCGCTCCAGTCGTGGTGGACAGCGAGACATACTCATCCTTGAAGGGTTCAACCCACTTATGCAACTCCCTTCGCACCTGGGCCAGCGACACCGTGTAGGTCTGAAGAACCAGCGAAGGCTTTTGATCTTCCACTTCTCCGGAACCCCCCGCTGCCTGCAGTGCCGCTATCCTCCAACCCTCCAGAGCCCTATGTTGACGTTGAAGACACTCCTCCCGGACCATCAGCTGTTCTTCCAGGACTTGAAGCCATCCTCCATGTTCACTGCCCTGCTGTGCTCCCACCGCCGCCTGATTCAACTGATCCATCCACATTCTCTTCAACTGCCAGTGGCTGCGAACTTCTTCCTCATGCCACTGCACCGCCTGAGTCCATGAACAGGCCTGCACATCCAAAGCTTCCTCCCCCGGAACCTGCAGCCCATCCTGCTCCTTCGGCAGATCACCTTCACAAAATCGACATCCGGCTCCTCGAGGTTCTCCCAGTTGCCAAAGATCGCACTCGAGGCACTTCACCATACCTTCTGCCGACTCTCCACAGCTCCTGTTGTCTTCTAACCGCAGGCAAGCTCTTGGATCTGTCCCCCCCCTGTCCTGAAGTTGGACAACGCGGACAGGGCTGGTTGTTGCGCAGGCTGCACCTCCTCATACATGTGTGAGATCACGTCCTGCAATGGGTGAGGGTCCAAACTTTGTTTTCCCGTCACTCTCCTGCGAACGATGTCTGCATCAATCTCCTGGAGCTCGAGAGCCGCTTGATCCGCTTCTGGAGATGGCTGTAGAGCCGTTCGAACGTGTTGAACACGACCTTGATGGCGAACTACCCAGCCATTTGTCATCAGTGGGCTTGGGCCAACCAGCTGCATGGAGATGAACGGGTTGACCAACTGACCAGCCTTGTGCCATCTCTTCGTGCGAACTGCCACCTTCGACCCAAACCGTAGCATTGGTTGCACTGGAACACCTAGTCTGCTGAGCTGGTGTCTGCATCTCTCCTCTGCCGCATGGCGAATCGCTCCTGGCCACAGTTCTGGTTCAACTTGTGCCTGATGGATGATCAGCCTCATGCGTCTCTTAACTTGTTGCACTTCTGCTTCTGCACGGCCATTCGACTGTGGATCGTCGCCCTGCGTGAAGGTCTGCACCAGGTGTCTGTGGCCGCACCAGTTTGACACCCTCCTCGACAGCATGCCCTTCTCCCTGTCACTGTGCAATCTCATCACATTGATGCCCAGGCACCTGAACCTTGCATAAAGTCGGGACAAGCCTCCCAAGAGCGAATCCACACCTCTGTCTTCCATCACCTCCACCATTGCAATGTTCTGCAGCTGATGGGGCCTCCGAAGCTCATCGATCTCTTCCCGACCAATCACCTGCTCCTCACCCTCCTCAACACACTGCTGATCTTCTAATTCTGGTGGATCTTGATGGCCATCACGTTCTAGGTCTTCCTCCTCCAGATCCTCTTGATCCAAAGATGGCACATCCCTCACCTGCTCCTCAGTGAGATCCTCTTCTTCCGCCGGTTCCCCCGGCAGATGGTCCGGCACCGGCAATGGCACCGTTCCCAACAAAGCGTACTTGGCCATTCTTCCAGTTGCAGCATCTTTCCCAACCGGGAATGGTCCAATGATGTCCACCGCCAAGGTGTATGCAGAAGACGCTGTCCTGGATCTCCGATGTGGATTTTGTGTACCCATTGCTTCCAGGCACGTTCTGCAGTCCCGCCTGAACGGCGTGTGCTGCATCCGCACATGTCGCCGCCATTGGTCCATATCCAATCGCGCCACCTTGCAGTTCTCATCCTCCTCAAGCATACTCCTCAATGCCAGCTGGATGGCCTTGACAAAGCCCGGCGACCACTCTGACCAGCTTCTCGATGCCGCCATCCTCTGACTCAAATCCCCTCCGACTGGGTTGGTGTTTCCTCCTCCTTGGCATAGTTCTAGCTGCTCCAGCATAGGCAAGTTCGACAACACCCCCCGTCGGCTTCCTCCGTGGATGACCCGTCGCTCCCTGGTCGAAGTTGATCATCCTCATAGTCTCATCTTCCTCCAGCAGCTGTTGCAGTTGAGGCCACTCAAAATAAGATGGATTCTGCCGATCCTCCTCCGACTCCAAATAGGATGCTGGATCCCTCGGCGACTCCAGCAGAAAGCCTGTCAATCGGCCCAGCTGCTGTCCCTGTTTGGCCAGCTTCCAAAGTGCAACCTGCTTGAGAACCAGCGTGGTGTCGTTCGCGACCATCTGAGCCTCCTTAGGAGTTAGATCATCCAACCCCCACCTCAGATCACCTCTTGCTCTGACTTTGCGAGGTCCAGGTGGCCCACGATTCCGCAACCTGCTGACTGTTCTGCATGGAGGACCTCCCAAAACTGCCTTGACTCGGCCCTGCTTGGCCAACCAATGGTGAGTGGAGATCATACCTCGACCCAAGAAGCGGGTCCAAGAACAGCCAGGTGTACCCCGAAGGCAGCGAGTCCCTCCACCTTTTCACATTGGCGCCGGAGAACAGGTGCACAATGATTCCCTTTGAAGTCTGATGCATCCTCCTCTGCCTCCGGTTCCATGGAAGGTCATCCCCCGCCAGACACCATGACTGGCCCTTCATGAACTCCAACAGCTCCCCCGAGACCCCAGGGATGTTCTCCTCCCACCACTCAGCGTCCTCGGCCGTGATGCTGTAGTGCCCCTTTTCCAGCTCCTCAAACTCCCTGAGCATCGCAAGAGCTGCAGACCTTTTCATCACTGGGCAACCCCCCCGCAGCCAGCATAGTATTGGCCCCTGTCGAGGATGGTTGATTGTGCATCCATTTGCCGACCAATCAATCCGAAAACCATGTTGCACCAGCAAACTCAATGGAATGATCGGCTCAACTTCATCCAAAGACAACAAGGTGCTGCATCCCTCCTTCCGATACAGCGTCGTCGATCCATGAGCGAGCTCCACTTGAACTGGGATGAGGTGATCTTTCTCACCGACCTCCGCCATTCTCAGCGGATGCGTCGCTCCTCCATCCAGCAAGGCCACCTCGCCCTCATGCTCACCACCGGGCTGAATCCTGCAGATCTGCTTCAGCCTGCACGCCTTAAGCGTCCTCAGTGATTTGAGCAAACTCGTAGCCTCTGCAATCCCGAGCTCACGTCGAGTAGGACACTCTCGCGACATGTGTCCTTCACCACTGCAGACAAAACACCGATTCTGCTTGTTGATGCCTTCCCATGAATGCCCATAGGTGCATTGATCCCCCCTCCTGCAGCCCTGAGCAGACCCCCAGAACTTGCAAGAGGCCTTTGGCTTCTCTTCTGTAGAGCTCGTGGTGTTGAATGCCGCCGCCTTTGGAGCCGTCCCTCCAGCTGTGGACATGTTCACATTCGCACCTGCCGCAGGCGTCTTTGAAGAGCCAGTCATCAGCGCCAGATCTTCAGCCTCCGCCTGCACATACTCCGCATACTCCATGATGGATTCCATCGTAGGACACTGATCCACTGCAAGTTCTTGCCTTGCTGTTGCCATTCTGAATGAGACCTGAGCACCACCATGTCGACCCAGGGCTTCTGTGACCCTGTTCAGCACTTGCACCAGCACCAGAGGGTCCGGTGTAGTCAGGCCCAACTCCTGCGCACGCTGGATCCATCGCCTCCATTGGCGAATTCCAGACAAAACATCTGCCACCCCATTGCCCACCTTCAGCTCGGTGATGCTCTTGAGGAGCGCAGTTCTCTCAGCTGAACCCCCTGGTTGAAAGATGGTGTACAGCCGAAACAGAATTCCCAGGCAGCTCACCTTTCTAGAGGCGATGACATCCCTTCGAACTTGATCGGGAAGAACCCCCAGCAAAATGGTCACTCCCCGGTGCTCAACCCGTTCATAACTGGGGTGCAAAGGCCGATCAACCTTAAGCCTCAGCCTTTCCAGCGGCTTCAACTTCAGCCAAGTCTCATGCAGCGCCTCCGCATCCATGATGTTTGCTTGCCACCAACCCCTCGCTGAGGATGACAGATCTGACATGAGAGGCATCGCCACCGTCAACCAATCGCCGAAAGCCAGCGAAGCACCATCGCTGCCAGGAGATGGTAGAGGTGGTAACTCCAAGCTTCTAAACACTTCATTCACGGTCCCCTGAGGTGGTTCAGACCTGTTCAACGGACCCTCACACACTCCTTCCTTCTGCAACCCTGGTGGACGCTCAAGACCATGTGGTTGAGACCCTCGACCATCGCGGCGAGTCGATTCGCCCCCATTGCCTCCTCCGCCCGGTCCCATCACCCCGACCGTTGACCGCCCAGGCTCTCGGTCAGCACTTGGCACCGACTCGAAGGATGATGACTCTGCTCCACCAGTGGCCTTCTTGATCTCCTTTGCAAAGAGATTCTCGGCTTCCCTGAGCACCTTCTCCCTGATGGCCTCCACGTCGACATAGTTTGGCGACCTTCTGACTTCCCCTTGACGCATCCCCTCAGGCACCACCCCACCTTCACCAGGATGAGCTCGTGCTTGTGTGCTCCAAAAAGGGTTGACATTCGCCCCACTCATTGGGGGAGGGGTAGCCATGGGATAAGGTTCCAGAACCCTCGGTTGTGGTCCCAATTCGATCGTGGGGCCATAGCTCAAAGGTCCTCCTCGGGGTGGAATTGGACACTGTGGTGAGCCAAAGACACTCCCATGCCCAGCAGGAACTCCAGGACCGCTACCGGCTAGATGTCCAAGATCGTGGTGTTGAAGTAGGGGTGCAAGTAGCCCTTGACCTTGGGGATTTCCACCAAAACCTCGCTGCAAAACATCTAAAGACTGCCTGACCGAGTCCAGCAGTCCCGGTGCCGACTCAATCGTGACTTGTCCTGGCCCATTCGGCTGGCCCATAACCTGACCTTGTGGTTCTCTGCTCGGCCTTCTCGCCGAGGGTGCTAAGTGGTGTATGTCACACCTATGCTCACATCATGTGAAAATGCGGGGATTCACAGAATCAAAGTAGAAAAGAAGTAGACTAGACTTGAATAGATTTGAATTTGAATTGACTCATAACTAAATTACAATTAGGTTATTTAGGGTTTGTAATTCTTTGCCTTCTGATTCTGATGTACTTACCCAGCTGCATTCAATAGGAGCAATACGATTCAGAAAGCAAGAAATATGGTTTTGCATGGGTGCTGCGTGGAAAAATAAAAGAATACTATATACATCCAAGAACTTTATAGAAAACACCTAACCTTATGGATTTAGACATTTTTGTACTACATAGTTGAATGAGCAAACATGCTTACCAACTGCACATAGAGCAACAAACATCACAAGTTTCACAACCCTATCAATGTGATATCATCCCCAAAAAGAGCAAAAGAACAACTTTCACAACCCTATCAATGTCATATCATCTGCAAAAAAGCAAAACCTTACAAAATCACAACTTTCACAACCCCACCCCCCATGACTACCCGCTCTCTTAATTTTTCAGGGTGCCGTCGCTGGCCAGAGTGTGTATTAGAGATCAGAACAGGGCTGTGAACAAGTTTCCTTTTGTTTATATAATTGAATGATTCCCTACATAATACCACAGAACAACCCTTTTAAAGGAACCTGGTAATGATGTCATTCTGTCATTCTCGCAACTGTTGAGGCCCCGATGGATACTTCAAATTGGGCGGCTCTTCAGAGTATGATGGCGGTCCGAGAACAACAGGTTAAAGCGGCTTTGCATCAACGACCTTCTAGACTGCAAGTACGAGTGGTTGATCAGACCACTCGCCCATCGAAATGCCATATCTTCGTTGGACTGGATAGGCAAATCGGTTCCAGTCCCCCTGCTCAGCATGAGCATGGAAAAGGTAAGTGAAATGCTTGTGGGAGTCCCTCGAAACAGCGTGTGACACACACACACACAGACACTTAGAACCCCTTAGAAGCAGGTTCTGACTGACGCACACGCGCGCACACTTCTTGACATGCGTACGGATCTGGATGCCACATGCCACGCGGAAACCTAGGTGAAAAAAGGGTCTGAGTATAGCGAAACAAGTACTGTAAGTTGGAGGTCATCGCTCTTAGGTTGGAGGCCGTCGCAGGCAGGTTGAGGGGCCATCGCTAGTAGGTTGGTGACAAGAAACGAGACTGCGAAACAGTCAGAGTTGGAGGTCCTCGCCGAGTCCTCGCTCTTAGGTTAGAGGCCACCGGAACCAGGTTGGAGGGCGATTGCTAGTAGGTTGGTGACAAGAAACACAAGAAGCACAAGACAGCCAAGGTTAGAGGCCACTGCTAGTGGGTGGAGGCCATCGCATTCAGGTTGAACGCCCGCGTTATCAAGTTTGGAGGCCTACCTGCAAACCTATCTATAGGTGAGTAGCGGGAAAAGAAAAGAAGCTTCCTGTTGAGAGCTAGGGGTGAGACGAAACGAATCACCCCATTAGAGTAGAATAGAGGAAAAACAGAAGGAAAGGAACCGGCGCACAAGTACGCCGACGAACCATTTCCTTCTGCTTTCTTGAATAGCAGCAGGTACGTCAATCCGGCGTCCCGGATTTCCAGTGTCTTCATTGGTGCAAGACTGGATGGGCTTCTTGCACCCCCTGCTGTATATTAAATTAAAACCGAAACAATCCGAAAGGATCCCTGTGACTCCAAGGGGCACACACACACACACACGGAGCCGTTTGTCGAGACATTTGTTACAATCTAACAAGCCTTGAGGAAAAGAGAAGAAAGCAGAGAAAAGATACGCAGCCGCAAGGAAGAAAGGTGACTGATTCCAAGCAGGAGTGCCATACGGCAAATCACGACAGCTGGGCTGGAATCCTCGAGAGTGCCGCGTCGCGTGAAAACTTCATACGTCAGGACGTCAGGGGCCCGCCCCCCGCCGTCCGCGGGTTCAGCCGCCCTGCTAGCTTTCGTCACCAACCCTCGGCCTCAAGTTAGGTGTGTTCCATAAGGAACTGTGCAACCTTATTTCAAGTAGTTCCCGGGCAAGCCGGCGGCGGAAGTTTCCAAAAGAATAAACCTATAGGAAATGGGCATGTGGCAGGCTGATTTGCCGAGCTGCGATGTTCTTTGACAAAACCAGTTGGAACCGACCAATGGAGCGAAAGCGAAGTAACCACCGTCAACTGTCTCGCAGGAAAAAACGTTGTTCATACATTCTTGCAAAATACAGAATAGAGATGACTCAGCCGCGTACTAAATTTGTACTACAAAGTCGCCAGTTCTCAGCTTCCAGCTCCACGGCTTGCTCCGCGTACTAGAGTTGTACTACAAAGTCGCCAGTTCTCAGCTTCCAGCTCCACAG